AACAAAGCAAAAACCACAAAAACCACTGGGCTCTGTCTTGGGATCCTGTTCTGACCAGGTGTGGAAACTTGTGCCCAGGATGTGGTTTCTTCACCTGCAACACAGGGATCCTTTGACCTGCTCCAACTCCCCTGCTGGTCCACAGTGGGGATGACGGGCCATATTGAAAAGTGCTTTAACTGGATAAGCATACAGGAAAACATAAGCCACTGAAGCATCTGCAGTGCCTATCATGGCCCTGAGGCACAGGGAGGAGTCAGTAAACATCTGGTGGCTTCTACAGAAGGTTCTTTTCTGCCCCCATATCCAAGCAATGCTTAGTGTATCTCTAGTGTCTTCCTCTTTGTTCATTCATTGAACAAGTGTTTATTTAACACATACTGAGCCCCTCATGTGCCAGGGCTTATCCTAGGAGGATGCAATGGGATAGCCAGAGTAAAATTATTCCTTTTTCTTTCAATGTATGGTTTTACATATCATGGAAGACAATTTAAGAAAAGACAATGCCCTCACACCTAAAAGACGATTTCAGCGTGGGCTCTGAATATTTCTCACAGGGAGGGTTCTCATTTTGGCCCTGGTTTTCCCAGGCAAGGCTGGGCTTCTTTTTTTTTAAACTTTTTCCTATTTTTTTTTTAAATTTATTGAATTTACTGGGGTGACATTGGTCAGTAAAATTATATAGGTTTCAAGTGTACATTTCTATGATACATCATCTATATATCGCATTGTGTGTTCACCACCAGAGGGGGTGTGGTAGAAGACGGAGAAGGGGATCGATGGTGATGGAGGGAGACCTGACTCTGGGGGGCTGGGCTTTGCTAGGAAGAAGCTTGCTCCTAGTTAAGGCAATAAACAAGGACGCGAAGCCCTGGACTCACAGGTGGCAGGCAGGAATTCCAGGTGGTCGTGTCGTCACTGCTGGTACTTATGCTGACATTACAGTTGTCAACCTGGGATGCACTTAGGCCATGAGAAGCCCCAGTGTCTTCTAGTTCCTCATTCTGTTGCCGCTGTAGGCTTGCCAGCATTTGCAACTCGGATTCACTCATTTGGCTGGATTGATAGTTTCTCCAGTCATATTCCTGACCAAGAGAGAAAAAAGCGACAGAGCAAGGGGTCACTTGGCCTTTGTTAATTTCACAGGCTACCGAAAATTGCTACTCCACAGTCTTCACCCCTTCAATAGCTCCTCGCCGACAGAGGCAGGATCCTTAAGGTGCCTTTATATGATGCCTACCCCATCTGCTTCACTTTGTCTTTTTGCTCCTGACATGTCAGCCAGATGGTCCAGCATTAAAAGTCTCCAGAGCATCAAACTTACGTCTGCCTTAGCGCCTGGGCATGTGCTCGTCCCCTGCACCCATGTGCTGGCTAACTCCTAGGAGCTTTCTAGGTCCCAAATTATATGTCCTTTCCTTGGGGAAGCCTTTTCTGACAAGCACAAAATGTGTCAGCTCGTCCACATTATGTGCTCTCATAGAATCTTAGTGTTCAGTTTTTAGCATCTATCACAATTGCAGTTATGTAATTGGTTTTCACAGGCAGTCTTATGGGCTTTCCAAAGAAAAGCATCACGATTGTCTTACTCCTATTGTACTTTCCACGTCTGGTGCTCAACTGTTTTTGAGGGTTGACTAAATAAATAAAAATTCAAAGCAGTATTTTAAAAAAGAGAAATCGCTTCCCATAAAAATGTCTAGTTTACAAGACAATTGATGAATTTCATCATTGCCAACATTATGACCAAATACATTCAACTTACAGTAAGACTGAGAATGACTAGTGCTGTTAAAAACCATCCAATAAAATATGAACTTAAGATGGGAACAGGTAAGGTCTGAAAGCCAGAAAGACCTCGCAGCTACAATAAATGCTTTTACTGATAGGGACTTACTATATATGTAATCTGTCAGGCACAATTTTTTTTCAAGAATAGTACTACAAATCTTTAGAGGCTAATAAATATTCTTTCACTGTACAGGGAAGAAATTGGCATATGGAATTTTCAAAACCTTTCCTTTTTCTCTGGCTTAAAACCAAATTTGATAACAAATATTAATTTCAACATTGCCAAAATATTAACACTGTTATGTTATTGAGCATATGTATATGAGCAGTGTGATTTACATCCAGGGCTGGCATGTAACTTAAAAACAATCTTGAGTTTTTCTTGTATACCTGGAAACATTGGTTGTGCTCAAAAAGTTTTTTTTCCATGACACACTGGAATTTTTTTGGACATTGTAACTTCTACACTTCCTTTCTCAGAGGAGGACCCTTTGAGATAGCTACCGCCTTCTTTTCTGCCTCAACGGAATTTAAAAGTTAAGAAAACATAATTTTGAAAAAATTCTTGGTGTTTCTATGACATTAAAAGCTTTTTAATAGAACAGTAGCATCATCATCATAACTTGGGAGTTATGAAAGCTTGTGATCTAATAAAGTGATGTGGAGGCTTTCTGGAAAGTTGCCCTTAGAGGCTCACTTAAATTCTTACAGTTCATGGCTCCAGCAACTTGGCACCCTGAGAGGCCATGCAATCTCTAATAGGAGATTTCATGAGTGTTTAATATGCTTTGAGAGTTCTTGGAACAAAACAGATATCACAAGAAGAAGAACAAAATTTGTATTCCAATGAAAAACACTAAAAATAAAAAAAGGGAGGGAGAAATAGAAATAACAAACTCAAAAGAAAGAACTGTGGAGCAATAAACACAAGAAGAGATGCTCAACATCATTGTCATTAGAGAAACACCACAATGAGGTACCTACCATTCACACCCACTGGGGCTGTCATAACACAGAAGATAGGCAGTAATAAGTGTTGGTGAGGATGTGGAGAAACTGGAATCCTCGTTGCTGGTGGGAATGCAAAAGGGTGCAGCCACTTTGGAAACCAGTTTGATGGTTCCTTAAAATATTAAATATGGGCCATGGGGCCCATCAATCCCCTCCAGGCATACATCCAGGAGAACTGAAAACATATGTTCACACAAAAACTCGTACGCGAATGGTCATAGCAGTATTATTCATCATAGACAAACAGTAGAAACAACCAAATATCCATCAACTGATGACTGGATTTTTGTTTATCCTTACAATGGAATATAATTTAGCCATAAAGAGTAATGAAGTACTGATGCATGTTACAACACAGATAAACCTTGAAAAGATTATACTAGGTGAAAGAAGCCAGAGACAAGAGGTCACAGATTGCATAACTGCATTTATATGAAATGTCCAGAATATGCAAGTGCATAGAGACAGAAAGCAGATTTGTGGCTGCTAAGGGCTGGGGGAGAGGGACTGGGATGACCATTAATGGGTACNGTAAGCCTTAACTTGCCTCCATTGGAACTTGATGTTTTTCAGTCGTTCTACAAAAGGAGAAAATTCCATTATATCTGATACAAATTCTCTTTTGGAACATCAGCTCAAAGTGTTTTTCCTATGTGGTTAACAACCATGTAATTGTAATATGAAATCATTTTTAACAGTCTCGTTTTATTACAAGTTGGAATTTGGTATATGTTTTTGAATTGCATTTAAAGGGCTTCAGTTGGCTCCTTACCCAATGGGTCTGGCATTAAGGTTTTCTCATCCATAGTGTGACCCCACAGCGCTGACCTCAACCTTGAAAAACAGTGTAGGCCAGGGTGCCTGTGCATACAGAGCACTTATTCCTTATTTTCCACATATTCCTTATTTTAATGGGTCCTAAAATATTAATGACATGGGTGATGGGAATTCTTTAGAGTAAACTGTCTTCCTCTATAAATAATCTCTTGGAAGTGTTCCTTTAATTTAAATCAAACACCCTGTCTAATAATCACAGTCACTTAGCCTGACGATCTGTGACGCACCATGAATATAAATGTACTCAGATACTTGGGTAATTGAACCCATATCAATGCATCACCATTTCAGTAATAAGAAATAACAGCTGGGAGAACAGTGGAAGGAAAAACATGTCATAAGACATATTTGATCTCACTGGAGAAATAAGACTTTTAGCAATCTGCAAGTGAAATTTAGTTCTATGATTTAGGCTTTATTATTTCACAGCAAAAAAGGATTAGCAAGCTAAGTGTCTAACAGGTTCTCTAGACCAACTCACACTGATGGAGAAATACTTCTGATAATACATTCATTGGTATTGGTCCAATATTTCAGCTGTACTCAGGTCTTCAATGAGTGGACCATAAAAAGCCTATTTACTTTCAGAGTCATTTCCATAACTCTCTAAACATCGCAGTACTGATATTCAGCCAAATTTCCATTTTCTTAATTTTATACCANGTAGAGGGCAGTGTCACTGGCCCTCATATGTGGGATCCGAACTGGGGCCCTCTGGTGTCCCAAGCGAGTTCTTAACCATCGCGCCACTCGGCCGGCCCTATGGTATATAATTTATAACTAAAAAAAAAGCAGTTGGGCAGTCAGGTGTGAAAATGAGACCTGTTGCCTGATGTTGGGCTCAAAAGTGATCAGGTGACTCACTGTCCTCCACGTCAGTTTTTCTGTTAAGAAATGGAACTCAATGTTCTAATGTGTCACACAGGCGTGTTGTTTGGCTTGTCATTGCCAATATATGCTTTTACAATTAAATAGGAAATTTTATTTTCATTTTTACAATTTTTCTTAAGAAAGCCTTCATATGTAGTATGATTAACCCATCCATTCAGTTTATTTATTTAACCCAGAAGCCTGTACTGTGCCTGAGGTACAACCTCAGGTGCTACGATAGAAAAACAAGAGAATGGGGCAGTGATGTACCAGACAGGACTGAGTCTGGGCCCTAGATCTATCAGTTACCAGCTGTATGTGATTGGGCAAATGACCTCTCTGCGCCTCAGCTTCTGTCAAATGGAACCATAGTATATACCTCCTCTGTCAAATGGAACCATAGTATATACCTCATGGGATTTTTGGTGTAGTCAATGAAATACTGTATATCAAATGCTTAGCATAGTACTTGACAAACTAAGGGTTTCCAAACTTATGATTTAACCTTTATCAGAAAACATCTGAGTAGGTATCTTCCGATATATGGTTATTTATAAATGAAACGCATGTACAACTATATTAAAACAGCATGTATATTATAAAACATACATTAAAAAATAGGAATTAAAATGGTTGAGCTTAAAAAAAATAAATGGAACTAGTTTAATCATTTTCTTCCTGAAGCCCAATGGGTTGCTTTTGGTACACATCTTCTGGGGTGAGTACAATCCTCTCAGGAGACCACTGAGCTGGCGATCAATACATATGCTCCCCGTGAATACTATTCTTTCCTCTAATTTTCTCTGTCCCCCTCCGTCCAGTCCTTCATCCATTCTGTACTATGCTAGGAGCTGGGAGTATATAGAAAATAAGACACACCTCTGTCCTCATGGGGCTCACATCTGGAAAGGGATGCATAACAGGTATTGTAAATCGGGGTATTATAATGTATCATGATCAATACTACAACAGACATAAGGCTAAGATGCTTGAGGAATGCAGGACAGCAGTGACTAACAGCTCAGTAGAATTAGGGACAGACTCATAGACGTCTAAGGTGGCAATGGATAGTAATTAAATTTGTTGACAAATGGAATGAGTGGCCTTCAGAGGCAGTGAATTCTCTCTACCACTGGCAGGGTTGAAACAGAGGCTGGGGAAATATTAGCTGGCTGGGATACTGCAGTAACCTGCAGTGGTGGAAATGGATGGATGGATTGATTCATTAACTTATTTCACCAATACTTACTGAGACGCTATCATGTGCCAGGAATTGTTGGTGCTAAGTTTGCTTAGAACTCTATATTTCCATGATTTTATTTCATACAACAGTAATAATGTATTCTGACAACACCCTGGAAGGAGCAGCCATAAATGAGCAGAGAGAAAGAAGCGACTTTCTCCAGGGTCATGAATATAATGACTGGTGGCAGAGACAGGTAATTAACTTAGTCCACTGATGCATTCTTGATTTGCAATCTCTTAAACCAATTCTAAATCACCAGAAAAGCTAATCATTAATTAATTTTTTTAAAAGAAGGCTTGCAATAAAGTCTTTGCATTAAGGTGGAGTCCA